TATTAGAATGCTTGCGAGCCCATAGTTACATCTTTACAGTCATACTTAGATATCCTTGTTGCTTCAGATCCTTAAGCAAACATCTGCAGTCATAAGTTTCTATGTGTTGTTTTTTAAGCGAATTCATAGTTGATCGTGAGTACTGTATGCTGAATTCATGGTACAGAAACGAGTCGGAATCAAGTATCTGTTTGAATGTCTCGGGTAAGCTGGGTTTTTCTGCTACAAATACAGTCTTTTTTTCGAAGAGAGTATTTTTCCAGCATCGGAATTCGGACCATCGGCAATGTACTATATACCGCCATACTCAACGTTTCATATAGGCCCTGCAGCCGATATTCAAAATTTTGCTGCACTGAATGGTACAAGTTGACTTTTATTACAGAAAACATTCAACGGTTTCGAAAAGGGACGCAACTAATCGCTTTTTTACAACTTTTGTAAAAGTATTGGGTTGTTGGATAATGTAGTGCCGATTTTCGAGATCCAAAAACCCACCCAACCCCAATCTTGCTGGTGTGCAAGAAGCTTGAAACTTGCTACGATGCTACCTTGGGATTGCAAATGCTGATTACGAAAATCCTATTCATTCCCCACGTCAGGGCCTGACTGTACATCTTGGTAGTTAGACTATACGGTCAAAATCATGGATGTGTGAAATCAAAATCACGCGTTGGTTAAATGCGAGTTTATTGGCGTGCTGATTTCAAAAATCATGCCTACATCGCACAACAAACTCTCACCGATGAATCAAATCAACCCTATGATAGAAAGATCAAAATCACTAATCTTCTAGGAAAAATCTGGATAACTTTTTGCAACCGTACGAAAGGGGTCTCATGAGGAAAGAGTATGATTTCTATGATCAGGATATCATTTGACATTAGCGGACCACTCAGAAAAAGCAGTCATTTTGACCCTGCAGGGTATACTTATATTTTAAAGGACCCGATTGTGGAGAAGGAACGTGATTTTCGTAATCAACAGGAACAGCTATCCCCTTAGATAAGTTACAGTGAATCCCGAGTTCCACGCATCTCACAAGGGAATGCTTTTTACTCGAAGTGGCCATTCAAAACAAGATATATTCCATAATAACAAGTTCGGTAT